CACCGCAGTATTTACATGGCTATGGGGACATCTGTTCAGAGGGATAGGTAACCTTTGGCAGCCTCCTTCACAGCTGCCCGGATTCCCTGACAGAAATGCACCCCACTTAACCACCCCTATTATTGACCATCTAAGGTTGTTTCCAGTTATTGATTTTTCTATAAAAAAGGGCAGGATAAACATCCTTGAAGAAACACCTCTGCAAACATCTATATATGTTCCTAAAAATTCAACTGCTAAGTCACAGATGGTACATATTTCTAAGTGATTTTTTTTAAAATATAAATTCTTCTAAAATTCAAAAAAAAATTTATGTGGAAGAACTGGGGTACAGACCAGAGGTGTAGGGGGGGTTGAGAAGATTCACCAGAGACAGAGTGGGGAGCAGAACAGGCTGATATTCAGAAATGCACTGCTGAGGGGAACAGCGGGCAGGACCGGAGAGGTCTGCTGCGCCCTCTGGGTCAGCTCCTTGGCCAGAGATAAAACTTAGGCTGTTGCAGTGATAACACTGAGACTTACCCCCTCGGCCAGCAGGGAGGTCCTTTTAAGTTTTGATACATCATGACCAACTTGCACTTCATAAACATTGGACTCCCACAGGGTTGCCCCTATGCACAGTGGATAAGCTTGTCCCACACCTACCACAGGCCACCTGGGACACAGGTCTTATCCCTCCTCCAGAGGACCCCTTCCTTACTCATCTACGTGTCCCCTAATCCCATGGCAGCACCCCAGAGAAGCAATGAAGTTAACTGAAATGGATGAAATGACGAAGAGGATTCAGGGTTCTGTTTTCAGCTTCTGGGTAATTGGGGGGGGGGGGTAAATCTATGCCTCAGTTTCTCCCACATGTAAAATAGCTCAACATACTTGCCAACGATCACACACTATTTATAGGCAGTATATGGGACTGGCGGGGCCACATACTCCGTGCATTAAAATGACACCAAGATGCCAGACAGAACTAGCAAGATGTTTGCTTTTTAATCAATCACATATATATCAAGGATATTTTCTAAAGTTTCCAAATTCCAATCTAGTACTGAGGGACCAAGGGGCCATTTCAGAGCCCCCAAACCTGCCATCTCAGAGCTTTCTCCAAGCCACCTTGGAAAGATACTGCTGAAGCATAAACACATAAAACCTTCACCTTCCTATTTGCAAACAGATTAATGCCCCACTTTCCCACACTAACAAATTCAAAAGCACCCACCCAAGAGCCTGCCCTCTGCAGCCTATCCGGCTCCTGCAGGGCTGATGCTTCTGGTCTCCTTAAACCTAGGGAGACAGAGCCATTTATTCCCATTTTACTGAGGAGAAGACAAGTTAAGAATTTGCTAAGGCGCTAAGGAGACCTTGATCTTCAGATTCCCAAATGCCCGGTGCCTGCAAGATCCCTGAGGAATCTGGAAAAAGCTTCAGTTACTGTGCGCCTCCTGGAACGGCCCCTCCAAACCCCTCTCTCGGGGACACGGTCAGGCTCTCGCGGGGCCTGACCAGGCAGGGGACCCGGTATGCGAGGGGCACACAGCTTTCCCCACCGGGTGTCAGAGCTGTGGCTCACCGGTGGGCAAGGCGCAAGCCCAGGCATCATGACCCACTTTGTCCCACTGCAGGAGGAAGCTGAGGCCTAAGCCAGGTCCCGCAGAGGCACAACTCAGAGAGGCCTGGACTGTGAGGTGTAGCCAGAGAAGTAGCCGCACCATCCCGGAAGTGACCAGAGCAAAGGGGAGGGGACCCCAGGACACCAAGGAAGCAACTCAAGGACGTCAGGCCCAGCACCCGCTGCTGTTTGCTGACCGCCTGCCGGACGCCACGCCTCACACGCTGCTCACAGGCTCACATCTGACTGCTGAAGAAGCAGGCAGGTGCCACGGTGACCCCACGCTGCAGGTGAGGGAAGTAAAGTGTGGGGCTCCTAGCGGGTGATCTGTGGATGATGCTGGGCTGGGGACTCAGGCCGGACACCACCTCCGCGGCCCCCTCACTGAACGGCTGACCTCACTGAAAAAGCATGAAGTGGGGACCATCAAGAGCTGAGACCCGAGGACAGTGGATAAAGGGGTCCGTGAGACGATCGCCTGAGGCGCACGTGGGGGCAGAGCTACCCTGGGGCACAGATGATGGGCTGGCTGATTTCTCACCCACCTGCTCCTTATCCTTACCCTACAGGGGACGCCAGTTAAAGTCTTATGGGTATAGGTAAGGAGGAATCAAGTGCAGTCACACCCCAGCTCCCCAGTGGTCAGAGGGGACACAAAGGTGGCCAGATGCCACCAGGGCGGTGTCACCATACTGACTCAGAGAGTTCCCCCACAATGCTCAGCCATCTCCAAGGTGGAAGAGCAGAGGTCACAGATGGGATGTGACCTGCCTGAAATCACACAGCAGTGGGGACTGGGTGGGCAGCTCCATCTGAGGGGGACTGCAGGGAGAGGGAGTGGCCACTGTGGTGGTGAGCAAAGGGGCCCACCTACACCCAGGGCCTCAAAGCCTGGGCCCCAGGGGGGCCCCACCCAAGTATGCTTCCCGTGAGTATTCTGCCTGCGGGGCCTTCTGGGGAGAGGGCGAGGATCTGAGGACTCTGCTCCCATTGCATGGGGGGTTGTGAACATTTGCTCCCCAGGGGATGAACATGGTCAGCCACCTGGTCCCCTTGAAGCCAGGGGGCCGGTCAGCCGCAGTGAGATCCAGAAGGCTTGGAGGGGGGATGCCAGCCCCTGGGTAGGTGGGCTCATCCGGTACTTCTGAGCACCTCCAGAGCTTCAGGGGCAACCCCCACCTGCCCTTCTCTCTGAGCCCCCAGGAGTCCTCTTGAGGGGCTGCTGATGTAACACACTGGATCTCACAGCCTGAAACTCCCCCCTGTGCCCGGCTCCCAATTCAGGGCCTTGCCGCCATATCCCTCCCAGTTCAAGCCACTCTACTCTCACATGCCAGGGCCTCTGCAAAACGAAGGTCCACCCTTCATGATGCCACCTCCTCTCCTTCTCCATGAATAGAAATTCTGCCTCTTAGAATCCAACTCAAGCGCTGTCCTCAATCTCCCGGCTCTCCTCCCGCCCCCACTCAGACTTCAGCCTGTTTCCTGCGTGTCCCTTTCCTGCCAGAAACAGGACACCCTATGCGGTTCCCTTGCCCCACCAGCAAGTCTGCCCCACAGGACCCAGCCAGTTCCTGGAACCCACGTCCCCCCAGTGGGAGTTGGGGGGGCAGCACCACAGGCCTGTGGGATCCCCAGGCTCTCCCCTTCCCAGCCTTCTTCCCATCTGGGTGGCCCTACAACATCTCCCCTCAGGCAAGAGCACAGATCCCACCTGTGCAATCCGCTCTCCATGCCTGGGGGCGCCCCCACCTCTCAGACTCCTGCCCCCAGCTCCCTCTCTCACTCTCCTGAGGGCTTAGTGCACTGCCCTCTGGCCATCTCCAGCCACAGCATCCCGGATGTGGGCTTCTAGCCCAGTCTCTCCAGAGGGCCCAAGGGTTATGCGCCCTCTTTGAGTGCAATTTGGCTCCCACCTGCAAAACGAAGATCCACCTTTGGTGATGCCACCACCTCTCCCTCTCCATGAATAGAAATTCTGCCTCTTAGAATCCAACTCAAGCGCTGTCTCTACTCCCAGTAAGAAACTTCGAGGGAGAGTGACCTCCGATCGGGCGTCCACAGTGGTCTCCTCTCTCAGGGGAACCAGGACCCCGATCGGGCAGGAGCTCCTTTTAGGGACCTGACTGGAGCTGAGCTAGTGGAGACTGCGAGCCGCGCGCTCTGCGGCCCCGACACGGCTCCGAACGGCTCAGGGCTCAGGGCAAGAGCCGGCCCCGCGCGGCCCCACGTCCTCTCGCGGCCCCGGCTCCGCAGGGCACCAGGCAGCGCTCTCGCTGGAGAGGAGCTGGCATCCCTGCCCCACCTCCCGCGCCGTCGCCAAGCCGGCACTGCACCCCACTGTCGTTCCAACTCGCAAAGTGGCGCGGCCTGGGCGGCGCCGGGGCGGCTGCGGGAAGGGCCGCGGTACCTGTCAGCAGCTCGAACTTGTGTCCCAGAACCTTCATCTCGGCGCCCCGAGCTGCGCGTGGAGCGGCCGCGGCGGGGAGAGCGGTGGCGAGCAGCGAGGCAGCAGCAGAGCGACAGCAGAACTCTCGCCGCCCCCCACGCGGCGCTCCCCCCTCCAAAACGGTTTAAAAAAATCCACCAATGGCGCGACCGCGCACCCCTAAAAGGCGCCCGCCGTCGCCACCTGGTCGGGGCGAACTTCAGGAGGCGGAGGGAGCGCACGGGTGGGTGCGGCGACACCCCGGGGACCGCGGGCAGGGGCTCTGCCCGAACAAAGAGCCCCGGCGGCTCCCCCGGGTGTTGCGGGGTGGGGGCAGACCTGGGCGTTGGAATCCCGGGGGTCCCTGCGTCAGGCCGCTAGAGCGAGGGCAGGAAGGCGGGGTACAGGGGTGCCGCTGTCGCCTGGGCGAGAGGGGGTCCCGGCGCCAGGCTGGCGAGTCTGGGGTCGCGAGCGGACGCTGCGCTGGGGGACTCGCTCCGTATCGGGGTGACGGGCCGGGGGCGCCGGCGACTCACCGAGGGCGAGGCGGGCGACGGAGGCTCG